ATCTAAGATAACAGACAATATTTGATTGCTAGGCACTGACTTCACATCATAACCTGGGGTCTGATAAAAAGGTCTCTGTTGATAAATACCATTTAGTTTGTTTAAGACATTCTTAATACGTTTTTGCTTTCTTACTACACTTGAGAAAAATACAAGTGCAAGAAAGCCCACTTCAAAAATTTTTCCATTTGGAGCCTGAGTGGTGCAGAACTTGTTTTAACTAAAATGCAACATGCATTCCATAAAATGGGAATTTGAGTATTTCCACAAGGACTGCTGTGCAACCAGAAAGGATGCTGTCACCTGAGAAGGATGGCCAGTGAGATTTCTGGGGTGTGGGAGAGGCAGGTGAGCTTAAATCAGCCCAAGCTCCACTCAGTCTCATTTGGGGGATAAATCAGTAATGATTGAAATAATGATTAATCCTTCCCTGGGCCGAATAGGTGGGAATTGACTCTCTAGCTCTCTCAATCTCTGTTTTGGATGCAGGGTGGTGAAGTTGGACCCTGCTTGGTTTGGCACCCTTGTCTCAGGTGCTTGGGCTCTGCGCTGAACTCTCCTACGACAGCGCCTTCCCAAAGTTCTCAAGGCTTTCATCTCCCTTCCAGTACAGAATGGAAAGTATTTTCCAGCTCTTAAATGAAATACAGTTCTTGTTTTTGTGCCAGCCACAACTGTAACTTCTGGCAAGAGGCAGTGTGGGCTCCAGTCAGCCCCACGCTCAGGGAGAGCACAGAAGTGGCCTAAAGCCTGATGTGCCACCCACCTCCAGAGCTGTGCCAGGCGTGCTGAGACCCGAGCCCTGCACGTGCTGGGCATGTGCCCCCCTTAATTGTGTCTGACAGGGAGCTGAGAGATACCATGTTCTGATGAAAAGATTTTCTCAGAACACGGTTGGGCTTTTTTTTCCAGTTAAAGGCTTCAGTACATATCCTTCACATGTTTATGTGTATGTACATATACTTAAATTGTATCCTGCAAATCCAAATATTTTTGCAGGTTGTGTGTTTGAGCTGGTTGCAATGAGGCATTTTTTGGAGGGTTTTTTTGGCTCTCTCTGGAAATCCTTGCTCAAGATCTTACATCATGTTCTCATATGCTAACATGGAGTGTATTTGCAATGTGCAGAATTGAACTGAGGTGCCTGTACTGCAGTGAAAACTGCCTAGCACTGAATTACCAGAGGTGTACAAGGAGCTGATGCCCTTGCTGTGTCACTGGAAAGCAATTTTTCTCTTGAAACTCTCCCTGCCAAGTGATTTTTAAATTGTGTTAGGTAAGAACCAGGAGCTACATCCAAACGTCTTAGATTTAGTTGCTTTAAAAAACAACTAAATATTTCTAACGTGGAACAACTCTGTCCTGTAGGAAACTGGTAGTAAATTATGTGAGGGAGTGGAGACTCAAACAAACCAGGGCAACCTTTAGAACAAAGCAAAATAAATGCTTGCCTGGATTGGTGTCAGTGGGAGGCCACTGTGACCCCACAGCAGTTAATTTGTTTAGCATGTTGCTGCTGTTATGCTAATTAGATATTTCTTGAACCAAGTGACTGTCAGTTCCAAGTTTCAAAACTTCTTTTTTTCTTTATTTTTAAAGGCAGATGAAAGTTTCTTGCAAGTGTACTATTCTTGGCTGCCCGTGTCTTTCTCTACTTGGCTTTTGCAGCCACTACAAAGCTCGTTTTCTTTTTTTATTAAAAACACTGTGGTAGCACTAGGTCAACCTCAAAGGCACAAAATTAACAGAACTGTGTTAAATGATAAGGTTTTCAATGCTTGAAAGTTTTGTTGAGGAAGGGCCTCTGCTTGCAAGCTGTTTGCTCTAAAGAGACCCTTCAGAGAAGTGGGGAGATGGTGGAGCCCACTGACTTTTCAGACCTGTAGGGTAGTAGGTTAGGTGGTTGACATTTCCTGTCAAAACACTATTTGGTCAGTCCAAAGATCAAGGGGTAAAATACTTTTGGTCTTGATATTTTGTTTCAGCAAAATATTCTATCGTATCAAGGTAATGTTTTGTTAGTATTTTCTACTGTTGGACTTTCTGCTTCTCCTTCTGTATCACACTTAAAGAACTGTTAGGCACTCATCACTCCAATATGACAGTTTGAAGGGTTTTTTGTATTAGTACCCTAAAATGGAATAATTTTCAGATTGCCCTCAGTCTCAGCATTGGTAGGATTGGGCCAGTTTGCATTCAGAATGTCAAACTCTACTTGCTGTTAGTGATAAACCCTCGTGCCATGTTCAGACTGTTACAGGCAGAGTGCCCTCTTGCAGACCCCAAATTCAGGTGCAGCTGAACTTGCCCTCATTCTTGCATGCTGAACATTTCCAGTTTGGATCTGTGAGTCTCTGGGTCAAGCCTGGAAATGCTGCCCCTCATGTTCACAAGGAAGGCACTAATTTACAGTTCTGCTTTACGTGTAAGGCCACGGTGGTGTGAATCTGGAGCAAGGTAACTGCTTTAGCCTTTTACCCTTGCACAGAGGCAAAGCCACCTGTCTCCTTTCTGGATCTTGTTTTACAGAATCTCCTCTCACTCAATGTACTGTCTTGCAGTGCTGGCTCTTGAGTCCAAAATGGCTTTAGTAGCTTCATATCCAACTGGGCTTTGTAAGAACAGCCTTTGTGCTGGTGCATCTGTTAAGATTGTGTAAAGGACTCAGCCAAAGGACTTGAACAAAATTCCCCTCCAAAAAATGCACTGGCAGCCATCAATTGCCCTACCCATTGGAGCCAAGTGTGAGGCAAAAATGAAGCCGAGTCAGACTGCAGGAGCAGTAATTACCTAGGTACTTGTTTAACCATGCAGCAAGTAATGAAGTCAGGGACTGTAATGTCACATCAACTACATTACCTCATTTTCTTCTCTTGCAGACACAGGGAGGTTAAAAATAATGAGCCTGTCTGCCTCTCCCCATACCCCTGAGCACACTGAATCACAAGCACCTTCTTTCTAAAACAAATTTATTTCTTGCCTGCCTCCTTCCCAACAAAGACTTGCCTGTGATGAATACCAGACTTCACAGCATATTTGTCAAAGCGATACACCTGTGAGGGTTCCAGCACAAGATAAATTTTGGCAGGCCGAGGGAGTGGAGGGAGGTGCTCGTGGAGGAATAAATCTTGGTGTGTTCCACCAGGCTGTGAGTGAGAGTTCTCCTCCCCAGAACCGCTGCTCTGACAAGTTATGATAAATTACACTCTTTGTTGACACCTTCATCGTGTTATTTATGGCTCGTTAATTGAACCGAAAAGGAGACTTGTAGCACAGCAGGGGTATCGTACAATGCTCCTCCACTAGGCTGGAACTCAAACCAAAGAACAAAAAAGGGGAAGAAAAAAATAAAGTAACATATGCACGTGTGTATTCTTCACCAGACAGAGTAGCTGCTGTGAGATACCAGTCCAGAATTGAAGCAAGTGCTCTCAGTCCTCGCAGAAACATTCCTGTCCAGTCCTCCTGGATCTCCCAGTTAGCAGCCTGTATGTTTGTCTTGTGTTTCCCTCTGCAGCCCTTGTGTCTGTGCTGCTCAGTGCATTGCTGAAGTGTGGGTTATCAATCCCATACGAAGGCAATGTCTGTATTTCTGGTTTGATCACCCCTCACTTCCCTAACAGCAGAATTCCCTGCTCTTTCCTAGTGCTCTCTTAGCCAGAGTGAGAGTCTGATGTGATAGTGGGTGATGAAGAAGGATACTGGTGTGACACTGAGAAAGGATCACATTTCTACAGCAACACAGAATTCTGTTCTTTTTGGGCAATATCTGCCTAATTCAGAAAACCACTCATTTGGGGAACCTCCCAGCCCTCTGCCACTGCTAAAGGCAAGGTCTTTTTACCAAACATCCTATTGTGGCCGTATGGGTGGGCATTTTCTCTGAGAAGGAGCAGTGTAAACAGGAAAGGGAGAGGTACAGGATCTGAGCTGGTGACTCTCTACACTTGTTGTGCAAGAGTTGTCTGCGGGAAATGTAGCTGAAAGTAATTGTGGGGGATGATAAAAGAAAGAACAAAACCTTGTTCAGCAGATAAATACTGAGCCAGACAGGCTTGCTTCTGTGAAGAATTGTAGAGCTGATGCTCAGTCTGAAGTTGCTCTAAGCAGCTACGTCCTAAAAGGAAATTAAGTGAACTGACACCTGGCAGTACTTGTCACATGTGAGTATTTTGAGCCAAGAGAGAATGTTCCATGAAAGGAGCATGTTCTCCCATCGAAGGGTTCTGAGATAACCATTCAGCTCCGTGCTGGAGAATGCCATCTGAATTTCTCACATTTCCATAATGGTATGAGCAGCATCACTCATGCATTTGCTGTTTGGGCTCCTCTCTTTCAAAGGAGCCAGGTCCTTCTGCAGTGGCAGGCTTGGGAGTTTCTTAAAACAGTCAGTGAGTGACAGGTCCCTTGTTAGTAGGATCTAGAAGAGGGAGTAGTTGGGCTGGGTGTCAAGAGATCTGAGATTCACTCTGATGTAGTTCCTTAATCAGCTTTGCAGACGCAGTCAAAGACCACGGCTTTGGTGTGTGTCTTTTCTCAGGTGTGAAATAAAGCTTTACTTGTCCCTTAGATAGGGACTGAGCAAGTGTTTGGCAGGGGCAGAATTTAACCAGGTAACACAGACCCTGAAAATTAATTCCTCCTCTGGCAGCTTTCCAGCCTCCCAAGTGAAATACAAGCACAGTTCCTTTATGTTCCCCTTTAAGGATCTCCTGGATATAGGAGTGACCTCTCCTGTGTGTTCTGTAGGGAAGACACTGGCTTTTGCCAAACTCTTGGTAGGTGACACCAAGCTCCTATGTATGCAGCTCCCACTGCTGCCCAGTGGAAGACTGGTCATGTCCCTGAGTGGAGAAGTGGCCTCTGTGGCTGGAGCTGTGCCAGCACCTCCAGGTTTGTGTTCCAGCCTCTGTCAGGGTGTGCAGCCTGAGGGCAGTGCTGTGTGCTCTGTGCTCTGACCTGGGCACAGCTGGTGGCTGGAAGGCTTTGCTGGGACAGGGATGGGGCTGGAACTTTACACAGGAGCTGGTGGTGGCTCGGTGAAGATGCTGAAACTTTGGAGCTGTGGCCCGGGGAAGGTTCTGGAGCTGTGGAGCTCGTATGGAAACACGCTGGCAGGTTGGAGTGGTGCAAGGCCCCCCGTCCCACTCCCGCTGGCCCTGCTGTCCCCCCTCTTCTCTCCGAGGCTGCACTGCTCCCTGGCTCTTGGCGAGAGCAGCCCCAGCACTGCCCCTGCCGGGTTTGTTCTCCTCTCCCCGTTTGTGAATAAAGAGTTAATGCCGGGCAGCGGCGCTGTGCCTGTGCAGGCAGTGGGATGCTCTATTTATAGCGCAGCTCTCCCGGCTCCCGGGGGATGGTCCCTGGGCCCGCAGGAGGAGCCCGGGGCGCGGTGCAGGTGCAGGTGGGGGGCACAGGGGCTGCCCCGGCCGTGGGCTCGGCTCTGCCCAGCCCTGTCCCTGGTGGGGCCTGGGGAGCAGCTGCTGTGAGTGGCTCCTTCCTCTCCAGCTCTGCCCGGTAACAGATGCTGCTGTTTGCGTTTCCCTGTAGCTCTGGAACGCCTTTCCAGTCGAGTTTATGTAAAAGCAATATAATTGGGCTTGTAATCACAACAGAGATGAACTTCTGAGGGTTTTGCTGCCGTTGTTCGGATCTAGAGAACGGGGTCATTAAAAGCAAGGGAGCATCAGACCCAAAATATAAGGCCCTTTGCTCTGTTTTGAATGGCAGCCATGGTAAGTGGCAGCAGCCTCTGTTGGTTGCTTTTCTGTGCCTAATTCCTCAGTTAGGAAAGTCAGTGCTGCCAACAAGGGTGTGATAACCAGCACAGCTCCTGGCCCAAAAAGGTTTCAGTTTATCACTTGATCCAGGGTCCTTCCCCCGCCCCAAAGCAAGGGAAATCTCTGCAGGAAAACCCACGTGCACCAGCTTGCTTGGGTTTGCCACCTTCGAGAGCAGGGGTTCCACACTGGAGAATTTTCATGTTTAAATATTGAAGAATGTTTTTACATTCTTTTCTGAGCTGAAATGTAATCTGGAGGCCTGATAAACTGGTTTCTTAAGGATCTGTCCAGTGCTGGAAAGCATCCTGTTGCCTTCTTGCTCGCCCTGCTTCTTTTCTTCTCCTTTTGTGTAGTAACTTAAATGTGAGCATTTCTTACAGGCCTTTTTCTGTGCTTCACACCATAGGCTGTGCTGCCAAATTATTAACAGCTATTCCATGAGCCAGGAAATGGAACCTTGCAGGTGTAATGCGAGTAAGGAGAAGGAAACCACATTGATAAGAAAGTCTGAGAGAATTAAAGCAGGCAGGGAAAAAAAGTTTGCTGCAGGCAACTTTCAAGCATCAGTTTTGGAAACAGCTGCAACCACCAGCCAGTTCTACTGAACTAGGGCAGAACCACCTCCAGTACAGCATCCTGCTCCCCCATCTCCATCTTTTGGTTGGGATCTCATTGATTAGAAAGACCTTTTGTTTTGTCATTTTGCAGTTGTGACCTTCCTGCAGCATTTTCTTCCCACCAACTGGCTTTCATTCTCAGCTACAAGGGGGTGTGATTTACTTTTTTTTACAGTACCAAACAAATTGAACATTATGACATTTTGAAGTATTCACTGACAAATTATCTTTCTCATGTCTTAATTTTTGATGATAAACTACTTGTAATAACATAGGCCACACTTTTAGCTCAAGAAACAGGTTTATGAATGAGGTGCTTTCACTGAAATAGCCTTGAGGAGCTGCTGCTTCCTCATCACTCCTTCAGTCTTCCCTGACTGCCAGTTCTCCAGGGTTTTGGGTAAGCACACTTATATTGGCTCACTGCTGCAACCATTGGTATACATTTGCAGCATTCCATACTCTTGGGGAGTATGGTAGAATATCTGCACGAGATGAGAAGCTCTAGTGAAATAATTCTAGTTCAGAACTGCATTCAATTCATTTATGCCAGCTTTTTTTTCTTGTTTGCTGTTGAGTCTCCAAGTTCACACATGGTATCTTATCTTTGTCCCTAATAGGCAGAATCTGAAAATACTTTTTTGTTGTCGTGAATTTTCCTGTTCAGTCTTTCACTGCCTTGAGATAGTTGTGAATTTTCCAACTTTTAGGGTTTATTTTTATTGATGGTATTACTGGCACGTTTGAACTGATATTCTGCATGTCTGCATGTGCCCATGGCTTCATTTCCAGATGTTGACACACAGGCTTAACCCTCACAGCATGCGAAGACAGCACCATCTCTTGGGCTTCAAACACTGTAACCACACGAGTGGCTTGCCCTGAATTAACTCTCAATTGAGAACGTGAGCTGCAAACTGAAGATAACTCAGGAAAAACAGTTACAGAATTTGTGTAGCCTAATAGGCCTTTAATTCCTGAACACTTATAAATGAGGCAGACAGAGCTAGTGAGCTCAGATACTGAAGCTGCTTTTTTCCATGGGCTTACACAGCTCTGGCTGTGACACGGGCAGGAACCAAGCACTGTGTGGCAATCAATACACCAGAAAGAGGGGTCTCTCTTCAAATTCAGCAATTAAGGTGTAAAATAAAAATAGTTTTTCCTTTTTATCCACTAAAGTCCTTCAGTGGAAGGGTAACATTTGAACAGCTGTGTCACCCTTTTTAACAAACAGAGGGCAGAATCTGCAACTTCAATCAGCTCTTGGGAGGTAAATGCCACCCACACCACTAAATGTTGGCTTCGGTCTCTGGCTTTCTGCTCTGTTGTTCTTTGTTGATTACAAATCTAAAGGAGGAGGGAAAAACAACCTCCGAGTCACTCTTACATAATACTTTGTTTTGCAAGGGTTCTAGTAATCATGTCAATACCGAGCCTCTAGTTTTTGATAATTACATTGGAAATGCCCAGTTTGTACATAGTAATTCCAAGTATAATTACCATGAAATTATATAACTACAAATTACCCTGTCATGTGGATGGACTAAATAAGCATGTACAGTACCTGCTCTGTGATAACAAATTAGAATTACATGGTTGGTTAACTAGCAGTAATATGAGATTTTTGAAGTGGCCAACCAAGCTGGCTAGTTGGGTGAGGAGAAAGTGTTGGGATTTTTGCTGATGCTTGGTTTAGATTTTAAAATAATAGATTATTTGTTTCCTGTTACTTCCTTATGGGGGGGGGAAGTCTGTGGTTTGGGGTTTGTTTTTAATGGACATTTGTATTGTATTGAATCATTTGCTTGGGCACCACCAGCTGCTGTGTTTGTTCACAGGTGCCTGCTACTGCTTGTGGGACATTGCCTGGTTTGGGGTTTTTTAGCGATTTCTAACTTAATGTGTTAGAAAAAGATGGCCTTTTTTTTATTCAAAGAGCATTTTTTTCATCTGCAGCAAAAAAAAGAGTTGATGGATAAAAGAGCTGGAGAGATTCTATACAGACAGAACTGTTTCCTTTCATTAGTTTTTGTTTGAGGAAGGGGAAAACCATGTCTGAAACTCATACACCTGAAAAAAACAGGCTCCTCATTGTGTCAGAATCCCCTTTCAAAACATCCATACTGTAGTTATTTCTTACAGACAAATTAGAGGAAACATTGGTCTTTCTCACTTTCACTTAAGGTCTAACATGACACAGAATCCCAGGATCGACCAGGTTGGGAAAGACCTCTGAGATGGAGCCCAGCCTTTGACCCAACACCACCTTGTCACCCAGACCATGGCACCGAGTGCCACATCCAGGCTTTCCAGGTGACACGATGGGGACGACAGGCAGGCCTGGAAGCCAGGGATGGGAATACTGAGTCCTTTGGAAGCCTGGCTGGTCTAGAACTGCAGCACCTCCAAAGCCAGCTGCCCACAGCAGTGTTGGTGCGTGGAGGAAGGCTGGGTTGGGAATGGTCTCCATGGTGAGACTGTGCTCCAGCAGAGCTGCTGTGCCTTTGTGGGCACACAGAGACCGGGATAACACTGAAAATGGCTCCTGTGTTTGAACAGCTGAGGCACAGAGGGGGCAGCGAGGGAGAAGCGAGGCTGCCGCTGAGGTGGAACCGCGACGGGGCCACTCCTCATCCCGATCCCGCTGTCCCTGCGCCGGCCGGGCCGCTCCCCATCCCCATCCCCATCCCCATCCCCATCCATCCCCATCCCCATCCCCATCCCCATCCCCATCCCCATCCCCATCCCCATCCCCATCCCATCCCGCTGTTCCCGCGCCGGCCGCGGCCGCCTCCCCATCCCAATCCCCATCCCCATCCCCATCCCCATCCCCATCCCATCCCCATCCCCATCCCCATCCCGCTGTTCCCCGGCCGGCCGGCCGCTCCCCATCCCGATCCCGATCCCGATCCCGATCCGGATCCCGATCCTACTGTTCCACGGCCGGGCTCGCTCCCCATCCCCATCCCATCCCATCCCCATCCCCATCCCCATCCCGATCCCGATCCCATCCCCATCCCCATCCCCATCCCGATCCCATCCCGATCCCGATCCCGCTGTTCCCGCGGCCGCCGCCGGGTGGCAGCAGGAAGGTGGCGGAACCCCGGGCAGCGTTTGGGCATTTCCCGGGAAAAACGAGTTTGGACCCTCGGAACACGGGGTTTATTGTCTGACCGCGCCCGTCCGTGGAACCAGCCGGTGAGGAGACTTCATCCGTCTCCCTCATGTGTTTGTCTCGTTTTTATTTCATTGTTTTTAATATTAGAGTATAAAGCGGTCTGACCATGGAAAAGGCTGTCTCTCAGAACCTACAGTTCTTTTATTGGAGCTTGGAACTTCTTCCATTTCCAGTGGCAACTGAATCTTCATGCGGGGGTCCTGGAAACTGTTGTTTCAATCTGCAGGAATCCCTGCAGAGGAATGTGTAATTGAGAACAAAGTATTTGTCACTTTTCACCCTATTGCAAAAGCTGAGTTTTCTCCAGTTGACTTTAAATTAATTTTCATGCCTTGATTTCTCGTTTCTTTGTTCTAGTCCTAAATAAATTAAGTAGCCACCTACATGAGAGGATAAGGTTCAAAGAGCTTTATAACCTCAGCTCTTTGTCCTTATCTAAGTTTTTCTCTTCTATGTTTCTTGCTGAATCTCTTCCTTATCTGGCACCCCCTCTTCTGAGGGATAGACTTTTATAGGAACAAGTAGTTCCAACTGAAGCTT